AAGACTTTTCGTCGTGTGTTGCTTGCCGAGCACAATGCTGGGCATATGCTCGCTTATCACACTGCTACAGGTATCATATCCAAGTAATATGCAGAATGGGGGCCTTCTGAAGATCCTGTGAAAGGCTTCACTGTCCTTAAACAGGAGCTCCTGTTCCGGAAAAGGGTATCTTGGTGCATAGAGGGGCTTCCTTATCCAGACCAGGATTGTTCCGATTCAGGAAGGGCCTCCAAATGTAGCCAAGGGGCCTCGTTATCCCAAAAGGGCATATTGATCGGGTACGACAGCCATCTAATTCATGAAAGGGGCCTGCTGTTCAAGAAATGGGGCCTCCTGAATATAGAGGGCGCCTCCTAACCTAGAACAGGATCCTTTTAGTTCGTGACAATGGTCTCCTGAGCCAGCAAAGCGCTCTCCTCGACGAATGATTATCTCTAATAAACTAGATTATGGGTTGAGTAATTCATGAAACTGGCCTCGTGATCCAGAAAAGGGGACTCTTGATTAAAAAATGGTCTTCCAATCCCCGTGTATTGCTAATAAATCAGCAAGATTGAAATGTCTCCATGAGTCATGAGCCATAGCATTTACCATGACTCACCACGCATGTGACTGATGTTCTATGCCGAAGTGGGCGGCCTTCTGCTTGTTGTCGTTATGTTATCGTTGATTAGCAGGCAGACTGCGAGTCATGTATGTGTGGGGGAGGGGATGGAGGATCGAACACACTCAGGTTCGTGTTGTTAATCCCTCATAGCTGCATGACTGTGGAGTTGCGGTGTTATCATTTACTGAACAGCAATATTTCAATTAAGAAGGAGAACAAGGCAGGCCCTCACCATGATCTCATTCTCAGGCAGCTCCCGGCCATTTATGTCCAGCATACAAGCGAGTAAGCGGGCTAACTTGTGTTGCCACCTCATGTCAAAGCTGGGTTGATGCGGACCGAGAGCCCCGCGCCACAGAGGCACACCCTGGCCGCGCTGCGTCGAACCTCGCGCCGGCCGAGGCAGGTGGGGGAGGGGAGGGGAGGGGCATGTTTGAGGCGGCCCACGTCGCCATGCGCGGGTCCGGCCGCGCGTCACACGGCACACACGGATAGCGGCGCGGCGGCGTGTGCGGCCGCCGGAAGCGTCGCCGTCGGTTCCTGGCGGCCGGCGTGACGCCATGCGCGCCCGCCGCGCCGCCTTCCGGCCGCGCACCTCGCCGGTGCCCGGGCCCGCTCTCGAGCGCCACCCGCCTCGCCTCGCGTCGCCGCGCCGACCGAGAGAGGCTGGCCGCCAGCATACAGCAAACAGTCGCGCTCCGGCCAGCGCGCCGTTTGCTCGCCTTTTTTATGCGCGCGCCGGGAGGCGGAAGTGGTTTTCGGGTCGGTGGGCGCCGCGCGGAGCCTGTCTGGAGCGGCGCTGAATGCGGTGCAGCGCCCCGCGCGTGTACAGCGTGTGCCGTGCCCTGTCGGACGTGCACAGCAGGTACTGCACCCCGCCGCACGTGCACAGGACGTTCCGCACCCCGCCGCGCGCATACGCCGCGTGCTGCATCCCTCTGCACTTGCACACCGTGTGCTGCATCCCTCCACACGTGCACACCGTGTGCTGCATCCCTCCGCTCGTGCACACCGTGTGCTGCGTCCCTTCGCGCGTGCACGTCACACGCTGCATCCCGCCGGAGGAGGCAGTCGGCATCACCGAGATTTTTCAGGTTCCTAAGTTATTACGCAATTACGCGTCAACACATGATATTGTACCACGCCTGCTCACTTTTCAAACGCCTGTGTGCAGCTGTTTATACGGCCCCATGGACAGCATTAGCGCTGGTGCGCAAACGAAGCCATGGCTTCAGCGCGAGATTTGCGTGTTTGCATATCGCCTAAATCTTCGGCACTGCTCTTTGACTTTGCTGAGTAATTTCCATGATGAGGAGTAATTAGCACTTTTCAACACGGTGAGAAGCTAGTGGCGTGGCCAGGGAGGGCTTTTGGGACCACGACCACATCTGGTGGAAGCAGATTTGACCACTTGCTGGGTGAAAATTTGGTTACGCCCTCGTGGGAGCAATACTACGATCAGGTACAAGAGGATGCAATCACACTGTTGCATACCGCCCACGTGAATTGAGTCCATTTGGGATGATCTCAACAGGTGCACCAAATGATGTTGGCTGTGGTGTTGATTTATGCCATATACCAGGTATAAATTGCGTAATATTTTCTCCATCAATCCCATCATATTCCACATTTTCCTGGATCGTGACTGAGTTGCCAAATGTCTCAGAACATGTATTCATAGAACAGATGCGTCTATATAGGCATTTGCGTTCCACGCAGACTTCAACTTGGTCGTCTTCAATGGTATGTTTGTAAATAACAGCCGATGTTTCACTTTGGCATCCTCCTTCTCCTAGCAACATGTATGGCAGCGTCGATGGAGCTTCAGCGGCTGCACACGCCGTTACGCTATCCTCACTCAGCTCCGCGCTGCTTCCGGCTTTGATGCGCGGTTTGGGGACGGTGGGTAATGTCCCCAGCGCGCTTTGTTGGAGACTGGCAGTGGTAAGGACGGCTGTGTCGCCTGCTGCCAGTCGGCGCCGGCGCCCGGGTCACGGGAAGTGGCTTCCGCTGCCGCCGCCGGCCGCCCGGCCCGGTATCCGGCGTCGGGCGGCCATATCCGTCCGCCGGCCGAGCGCCGACCCCGCAGTCCGCCGTCCGGCGCGGCGCTGCCATCTAGCGGCGCGTGGACGAAGCTGTAGCGGGCGGCCGGAGGTGGCTCGGCTCGAGCGGCAAGATGATTTTGTTGCCTTCGGCTGACGTCACCGGCTTGTCGTGTTATCTTTGTCATCTAACCACTGAAAGGGAGGATGCATGCCAGGGTGCATTTTCCTTAACAGCTGGACCCTGGGCATCGCCGGCCTTGTTAGCTGGGCCTTTGGCATCGCAGGCCTTGACATCTGGACCCTTGGCATCGCAGGCCTTGACAGCTGGACCCTCGGCATCGCCGGCCTTGTTAGCTGGACCCTTGACATCGCAGACCTTGACAGCTGGACCCTTGACATTGCCTGGCTTGTTATCTGGACCCTCGGCGTCACAGGCCTTAACAGCTGGACCCTTGACATCGCAGGCCTTGGCAGCTGGACCCTTGGCATCGCAGGCCTTGACAGCTGGACCCTTGGGATCGCAGGCCTCGCATCAACAACCCAACTAGTCGGTGCAGCTCTGCACCCTACCCTCAATTGAAACCATCGCACACTTTTGGGTCAGCCCCAGGGATGTATTCGGGAGAGATTTGCAGGAATTACGTTCCCTGGCCCTGCTGTTCTTCACATGCCCTCAATACCGTTTTTTTTTAGAATCATGACTTTCATGCCTTTGACATAACTTGGGGATGGTGACCTCCTCGATTGCCTTCAGCTACCATTGAACAGGTGACCATGAGATCTCGCCTTTGTCCTTAGCAACACTGATAAATGTAAGCTGCACCCATGCTAGAAAACCAAATTAAGTCGCGGCGCCCATTCCAGCACGTTGTTGGTCATTGCGGAGTTGTTGTTGGTCAATTGCGGAATTGTTGTTGGTCATTGCGGAGTTTCATAACACATTATTGCCGCGGACCATATACATCAGAAGCATTACACCTTGCAAGGGGTCTGCTGAATTTCTGGGTGACCACGGAGATATGCTCTCGCACCGTGTCGGATGGAAGGTTGGGCGGCTACCAATCCTGCCTACCCATTGCCGCCCATGCTGGTTATTGTAGGCTGCACGCAGACATATTAACACGCGCTAGGTGACCAATTGGGGTTAATCGCGTGGGTGGGGGTCAATTTGACCCTAACCTGAGATCTCAGAACGTAAGAAGGCCACAAATATCCAATTCACAAGACGCATTTGCCTGTGCGTAAACTCACTGGTGTCAAGATTTGAGGTGCCTAGGTTATGACCTGGGGTTTAATAAGGTCAAGCAAGATCAAATTCCAGATTGGTGTCCAAAGTCCCCAAACCTTCTCATGTAAATACCGTGAACCTAGATGCATGTTGTAAGCCAAATTTAACTGGTGCTCACTTAAGGTCACCGACCTTATGTAACGTTTCGAAGGTCATGATGACCAAAGTCATACAAGACTGCTTTGATTGTTGCATTTGAATAAGCGTCCAGGACTACGCTAGGCAGCACGCTGCTAAAGACAAAATATTGGTCTGGATCATTTTAGATTAGTGACCTATTCTGACCTCGAAGAAGTCCGCGGCAGAAACATTATGCGGCTTCTGTTGTCAATAAATGAAAAATGAACATCAGAAGCTGCCCCATACAGCAAGTTCTAGGGAAAGAAAACAGGTTGTTTCTTAACTTTGGCCCGACCTCTACACCCAAACCTAGGACAATGTAATTTGTTGATTTAACTGTTGTGTTATATGGGAAACTATCACAAAGGTGCATGGCTTCCTTAAGCACTTCGTTTTTACGCCAGATTGAGCGATTCCTAGAAATTGCCTGCGCTGAATCCATGAGCTGCCGTACGTCAGTGACCTTACAGGGTACACCTAAATTTTTCATATAAAACAATTGGCTATTAATTGTCTACAGCTATGCAAAGTTTGGAGTGGCTACATTGCGTCGTTCGGAACTCATTCCGGAAAAAAAAACGCTTTGTTAACTTGAAAAACTATTTGTTACTCAAATTGACTGTGTTAATAGGCCTCCTGCGAGAGCTTTGGGAAAGCTCCATCTCTCCAAGTATATGGATGTTCCACAAAACAGGCGGCCTTCGATAGCTTAGGGGAGAATTTGGACCAGCGGAAACACCTTGGGGAGGCTCCATCTCCCCCAAATACGTGGATATTCGACGCCGCATGCATCCTTGGCGCCACGCGCTGTACTGTGTCATTGGCTCTGCGCTGTACTGTGTCATTGGCTCCGCGCTGTACTGCGTCATTTACAAGGTACTTTTCTCGACGTCGAGCAGGCCGTTTGCTTCTGCCCATCGGTGTATCGGCGCTGTTTCAGAAGGTGCCGGTGCGATGGGGTCCACAGCAGGAGAGCCCCCGAAGCTGCTGCCCTTCGCCGCTCTGCGCAACACCACATCAGTCATCCAGTCGCGTGAGTGACGTGATTCACCTGACTGTCTCTGACTGTGTCAATGGGGCTGCTCGTACGTACGAGAGCGTTATGTCGTGAGTTTTCCACCATGAAAGGTGCCCGCTCTGCCTCCCGGTCACCGCGCCTTGGGCATGATGCCGAACGAGTGTAAGAAAAACAACAACATTGGAATGAACTGATCTGTTCGTTGAGAACCCCAGTCGTTCACGACTTAGACTGAGTCAACTGTAGCAATTGTTTTGGAAACCCTTGCAGTGCAAGATACCTCTCCGCGACTTTAGGGCCTACTGAACCTCAACACAGATTCGGGGCCCTTCTCGGATTATACAAAACGAAACTCTGGGACTGGTTCTGGGGCTAAAATTAAGTCCGCATAGGCCCTGACTTGTTACGTGGTCAAAGCTCTAGCCTCCCTCTGCTGACAGTTTGGACGGGGCGCTGATTCTGTAACTCTCCCTCTGCTGATAGCTGGCACGGAGCGCCGATTCTGTGATCTCCCTCTGCTGACAGCTGGGTGGAGCGCTGACTCTGCAACCGTCTCTGTGCCGACGGCTGGACGGAGCGCTGACCATGTGACCCTCCCTCCGCTGACAGCTAGGTGGAGCGCTGACCATGCGACCCTCCCTCTGCTGACAGCTGGGCGGAGCACTGACTCTGTGACCGTCTCTCTGCTGACAGCTGGCTGGAGCGCTAACTTTGTGACCCTCCCTCTGCCGACAGCTATTAGCTCTGCCGGGCGGGCCTCGTACCGACCGCCGGTACCGGTGCAGGTGGCCGGATCGGCCGGCGTGGTGGCGCCCCTACAGGACACGTGGTCAGCCGTCTCCCTGGAGAGCACCTCCCTCGGTGAGCCCCAGTCGTCATTGGAACCGTCCCTGAGGCTCTCAGACCCCCAGCGCTGCCTCCGGGGAATTACCGCCGTTCGCACCGCTGTCACCAGTGCCCCAGTGCCCCCCCCCCCCCCCCCCCCACTGCCCCGACCTCTGGTGCTTGTTTATGGAATGCAGATGTTCTGCGGTTGTGTGGATGGCCCATCTCCGTCGTGGGACACCGTTTTTGTTTTTTAACTTCCGTTCGCTGTCATTCACCGGCACACTTGCCGTGTATCGAACGCCTGCGCTTCCTCTGGGGAGAGCACACACCCCGCAGACCAGTGTGAGGCCTGGGCGATCGGCACTCGGGTGTGCGCACAGCACCAGAACGGACGAGCACCGCCGTGCTCCGGTGCTCCGGTCTTCTGGTTCCCCGGAGTTCTGGTACTCTGGTGATCTGGTATTCTGGCTACCCGGTGCTTTGGTACTTGCTCCGGTGCTCTGGTCTTCTGGTTCCCCGGAGTTCTGGTACTCTGGTGCTCTGGTATTCTGGCTACCCAGTGCTTTGGTACTTACTCCGGTGCTCTGGTCTTCTGGTTCCCCGGAGTTCTGGTACTCTGGTGCTCTGGTATTCTGGCTACCCGGTGCTTTGGTACTTGCTCCGGTGCTCCGGTGTTCTGGTTCCCCGGAGTTCTGGTACTATGGTACTCTGGTATTCTGGCTACCCGGTGCTTTGGTACTTGCTCCGGTGCTCCGCTGATGAGTGCTAGCCAGCGTCGTTTCGCCCCTCGTTGGGCGACATTTTCGCGAATGGAGAGTGGAGTGTCGCCTAGAACCCAGTGTTGCGCTGCGTGCAAAACGCATAATGCCTCTCCCCCGCAACCGTAGCTGCACTGCATGCGGTACATAGAACGTCCAGTGCCTGTGCTGGTCGTGCAAGAAACTGCAAGACGGTGCAAAGAACAGCGCAGGCTGCGTCGGACCTGCACTGCGCCCGGCCATTGTAGGCTGCGTCGGACCTGCACTGCGCCCGACCATTGCAGGCTGTGTCGGGCACTGCGCGCTACGAACCATATATTACCTTCCCGTTACACAGTGCATGCAAATTTCAAGTTGTACAGTTGCACCTTGCACAATCGCTCCGTTCGCGTTAGGCATCTACCGATACATACCGGCCCCCGTCACAGTGTCGCTGAGGCGTGATGGCGGCGCGAGGCCAAAGGTCAGCTGACGTCATGGCACGGCTGCGAGCTCGTGTTCTCGCCGTCATTTGGGTATCGTGCAAAAGATCTTCGAAATAATATTTGGGAAGAAATACCTAAGGTAGTCTCGGAAGGGCAAGGCAACAAACTTGCCGTCGGTAAACTTATTTTATTAAATGCACCTGTATCGACCAATAAACATGTGGGCAACAGGACAAGTTCTCCCGTCCATTATAATGCCACAAATTTTTGGCGTTGAGTGATGCTCGATTCGTATTGCTAAGGCTTAAACGCCACATTAACCCCTCAAAACATAGTTGTACGGTTTATCTAAAGATACCATCCTACTTTCTGCAAGCAGTAGGGGGAATGAGACGGGCCCTTCTACACGGCTCATACCATTGTCTGTGGGACCGGTGACGTGTTGGTCTAGCGGCTGACACCCTGGGCTCTCACCCTCGAGGCCCGGTTAATATTCCGATTTGCAACGTCCCCTGGACGCTAGCATGACGACTGGGGCCGCTCGCGTGTCACACAAGGATGTGCGATGAGGCACCTCACGTACCATAAAAAACTGCGGGACTGCGCCAGGGGAACTTGAAGCCTAGGGGACTGGGCACCAATCGTTTTCGATGAGGGGCTGGTGATGCATTCTAGGCTCCAGCTGCTTGCCTGTTGAGCACCACAATGATACGAAAGCTTAAATGGGGGCATAGAACCGGCCAATTTCTCTAAAATCATGCAGCGATGTGATTGAAACTTGTGAGACATTGATCTTGTGCGCCTATAGGGTGAGTTGTCTCCCCGAACTTGTCTCATTCCGAATATCACTGGTAAATCCGGCATTTACGCCGTCGCACCCAACAGCCGTGACATTCACAATGCCAAATTATAACTTCGCCCGTTTTCAATCGCGCCGTTTGAGCAGATGATCTGAAAAATACCAACGTCCTCTCGCTTTTTCTTCGGCTCACTGTATGAAATGGGCCACAGATACGACTGCTATCAGACTGTCTGTGGCGTCATGAATGTCGGCATGCCTGTGCACTCCAGCCATTGGCGTCCCTAATCCCAGCCGCTCAGTCGGTCGGTGTTAGTCATGCGATAACGCCGCCAGGAAAGCGGCAGGCGTGTGCCGAGGAACGGTGCGCTGTTGACGCCAATGGCGGTGCAGCATTTCTGTGCACCAAGCACTGATATGTGCCGATTCGGTTTTGGGCCTGACAAAGGTAAATATTCTGGACTTCTTTTGTACAGTCAAAATGCTTCATATGTCTTGTAGTGCCAAGAAACGGGTTACCAGACCACGACATGCTGTATTACACCTTGACTTTGGTGTCTGCGAACCCCGTTCGGCACACAGTCTAATTTTTAGATTTATGTAGAGCAGAGCCATCTGTTGACACGCGCTCGGGTGGGGGTCAAATTGACCGCCCAAAAACCATTCCGGAATTTTCCGGAATGGTTTTCGAACGGCGCGGCGTAGCCGCGCCGAATTTTGCACATGTGTAGGCGATTGAATAGCGGATCGTCTGACATAAATGTTTTACGTATCTTGCAAGGTCGCTGACTTGTGGCAAGTCAAAGTCAGACCATGGTTTCAGCGAAGGCAATTTCTAGGGAATCATTCAATCTGATCCAACAACGGAGTGTTAGACGAAGCCATACATCTCTGAAATACTTTCTTAGGCAACACAACAATTGAATACTCAAATTATATTGACCTAAGGTCAGGTATGAAGGTCAGACCAAGGTCAAAATCAACCTGTTTATTTCTGTAGCGCTTGCTGTATGGGATAGCTTCTGGTGCTCATTTCGAATTTATTGATTACAGGAACCGCATTATACCCCTACCATAGAATAGACAGGTCAGAGTAGGCTAATGACCTAGAGAGACCCGGGTTAACATTTTGTTTTCAAGAAATACATTGCCTTGTGTAATCTTTGTCGCTTATCCAAATGCAAAACTCAAAACGGTTTTCTATGACTTTGGTCACCGTGACCTTCAAAAGGTCAAACAAGGTCACTGATTTTAGATGAGCATGTGAACTTTTGCTTAGAACAGTCATCCAGGTTCTAGGTGCCCTTTGGAGACCAACCTGGAATTTGACTCGTTTGACCTTATTTGACCTGAAGGTCATGATCCAGAACCTCAAAGAACCTCCCCACACCCGAGCAAAGGGTATCCAAGCGGCTACCCGGCCGCGTGTTGACAAGAACGCTATTCCCAGACCTCGCAGTTAGACACAGCGTTAAAAGTTTGAATGCCCCAGGTCTTGGTGAACTGAATGCATGTGTAATAAATGCATGTGATGCCTGTAATAAATACATAACAGTCATGCATGTGAAATAAATGCATGCCACAGGTGTGGCCGTGGGGGGGGGGGGCTCCTTAGATTTTTTCATTTTTACGATGGACGGCTGCTGAAAGAAAGTTACAATGTCTGTGACGCGTTTTTGCAGAAGCCTCCCCCCTCATCCCTTGAAGAAATCCCTAGGTGCGCCATCGATGCATGCGAACACATTGAATCATATCAATAACTGTTGCTTGCTTGAAACCTTCGTTGAAAGATACACACCAACTGTTTCCACAAACGTAGGGTAGAGCAGGGCAAGTCCGTCGAGGTAATGGGCCCCATACCCCATATCTTAGGCGTGTTGACCTTATGGCGTCATCCATGATCAGCGATAGTTAGTTGGCTCGGCAAGGCCACTCGACAAGCATCTGCCCGGACTGGCCCACAGCAGCGCGATCGCGTGCTTACGAACGTCGTCCAAAAATGCCGGCAGCTACTTCTTGCTTAATGCAGTGCGTAAGTGAGTTTGTGCTGCGCTTCCATCTATGTATTCCTACATCCAAGTTACCTGTTCCATTTCGCTTTTGAAAGACGAACACCAACATTTGAGTGAATCGTGGACGGTATCATTTATTCCACCCTGTAGCGTAGCCAGGATTTCGCCCACGAGGTGACCAAATCAGGTCATAGGGATCATTTTAGTCAACAGGCTCCTCTTCGTCGGTGTGAGTAATCGTTTTTGGTCCGGACCGGCTTCGAAGACTCGGTTTCCTATTTTGATGCCTCAAAGGCGAGTTTTTATGTCTTAGAAACCGTACAGGCGGCGCCTTAACCTGCCAGAAACTTATGGGTCTTCGACCTCAAGGGCTACGCCACCTCCAAGAGGGGGCGGCATGGCTCCAAAAGTCTTTCCTTTGGGTACGCTGCTGATTCTACTGGTGTTTTCAAACTGTGTTTACTTATACTTTACAGAAGGCACTGCAAATGCTTTTTAGACGAAGTCAATGCATTAACTTGTCTTTCCTCAGAGCGTGGGTTCTTAGTTTATGTAACTACATTCCCGTTGTCAGGACAGGCTTGATATGTGTCAAAGTCGGGGAGAACGTTAGCATTTGTCCTTTCAAACACATGAACTCCACCTATATGTTTTTGGTATGGCCCAGCATATTTCTTGGCCGAGCCCACAGTTGGTCTCAGCCCATGCAGTTTGCCCATCCCCCGGCGACTGACCCTGCCTATCTCTTGATCGAGTCCACAGTTAGTCTCACCCCATGTAGTCTGTCCAGCCCGCCGGCGACAGCGCCTCAGCTTTGGGCGCTGTCTAGAGATTCCTGTGGTAAACATTCTGTCCGGCCCGTGAGAGACCGCCAGACGCGCTAGCTCACCTCCGGCCGCTATCTTTGTTGGCACGCATCGCTATCTCCTTGACCAGAATGACCTCAATCTCTATCAGGTAGACGGGGAAAAGTATACACATTGTAGCGCAAAAGCGGACCTCTGACGTGTCACCACGCTGTAAGTTCAAGCCAAGGCTCCTCTCAGTAGGTACTGGTGAGAAGTCTGACGAGGACATACCATCGCACACTACATATTCTCGTTGCATCAGATGCAGACTACAGTAACACTAAGCACTCGAATGATCACTAGTAGCACAATAACACTGACCAGTCTTCCCACGCATTAACACTGTATAGCACGTAAGCTCCTGTGCAGTTCTTAAAGTAACAGCCCAGAATGCTCGCTTGAGTTTTTGTAATGTTTTAGAGTGAAATTCAAGCCAACTTGAAGGGCTCTCAGAAAGCTGCGTTTAATGCAACAGCTCAGCAGCGTGCAGTGTGTTCTTTGCGTCGTCTTTGCACTCAATGCGTAAACACACTATACAGCGCAAGCTGTATTCTCTACAACTCGCAGAAGCATCATTTGATGGACTTAAAACCATAATATCATGGAAATTAGGGACCTGTCACTGGCAGAGAGGTAGCAGGTAATCGTGCTGTGTCATTGGCTCAGTTTTTGATCCATAACGATACAGGCTTTCTGTAAAAACTGCTGATTCTGAGCCTCCGTAGTCTACCAGTAGTGGTGTAATATGATTTGAGCGACATCCAGTTCTCCGTCTGCTGTGCTTTCGGGTACAGGTAACTAAGCACGCCGGCTGAATTGTAGTTCCATGTTAGAGTAAACTGATTGTTTTATTCTTTGACATCTTAATCTTGTATGTTTTTTATTACCTATGGACCATACATTCCTGCTCTAAGTAGACCTCTTTCGGATGTTGTTCTCCTTTTCCCTGCGGTAGTGTTGAAATACGTTTTTAAAGCCATGAAGTATAATTGCATTTTATATTTAGGAAATATTTAGATACACGAATTAAGCAAGATTTGTGTCAAAACATTATACATATCACTTACGAAAAAATAATGGTAAAAAGATGATAGTGTGAACCGAAAGCACGTTCTTCATTGACGTAGTTGTTAATATTATGATCGTACGTTGCCGCTCAGTGGTAATGGTTTCCCACAAGACATGAACAGGTGACTAGCTCGCCTCCCAAGTAAAAGCTTCGCATCTAGACTAACTCGCCTCCCAAGTAATAGCCTCGCATCTAGACTAACTCGCCTCCAAAGTAGTAGCTTCGCATCTAGACTAACTCGCCTCCAAAATAAGAGCTTCGCATCTAGACGAACTCGCCTCCAAAATAAGAGCTTCGCATCTAGACCTATCTTTTACCCGTGCACGTTTTCTGTCGTCGACTGTCTTAGGAACATAACAGGTCACGGCTACTTATAAAGGGATGCCCCTATAAAGGGATGGAATGGATTGTCCTGGTGTAGCGGACACTTGTGACGGGGAGGACCACGCGCATTGAAGACGTGGCGCGAGACAGGTGTCAGATAACTTGCATGGCTGAAGGTGTGGTTCAACAACTTCACTGCTAACACTACATGTTCATAACATTTTCTAGCTTAAGTGTAGAGCAAGCCGCGCGAGTTTCATACAATATGCAGTACCTTCTGGTGCATGGGTGCTCGGCATACCTCGATATTTTTAGAATCACGTCGTGCCCATTGGATTTCGATTACAATTGGTATATATCGGGCCGTCATATCATTCACGAACTTTACAATCTTCCACCTCGTTTGTCACGTAATTTGCAGAGTGCTCAAAGTTCACAGAAGAGAGTCTAACGGTGGGAGTGTAAGATGAGTCTTACAATGAACTTGTTTGTCCCAACAAGGAATAGCTGAGTTTATCCTAAGTTAAGGTGGACGTCGTGGATACCTCTGAGTTACACTGCTACGTTAATTACACCGCTACGTATCCCTTTTTTACTGGAGTATACTTTTTCAAAACCAGTTAGGGCCTCAGCTTGTAGATGACCAAATCAGGGTACACATAAATGGTGGTTTTCTGCGCGCATTTATATCCCCTAATGTTGTCATTTGAGAAAAAAAAGTTGAGGTACCGAGTTGAAATTTTCTGTTAACCTCCCAGGCTGTTAATTTATATCTTTCTGTTAATGACAGGAAGTATAACTTGTCAAATACAGTATCTGCAAGGAGCATAACTGTTTCCAAGCAGGCTGTCTTACTTCTCTTGCGTTTATTCTTTTTACTTTTTTAAGCGTTATATCTCTTGTCGGGAGGACTTCTAAGTCAGAAGTGCTCATTGGCCAGCGGAGGCGCCCAAGCCGATCCAGTTTTATAAGAGTTTACACCCGTTGATTAACCTACAATTTAAATACCTAGACTGCTCACGATATTTTGCGCCAGTAAACATTGTTTGCAGGATACTTACTGAAGGAGGCAAGATCATTTCGTGAGACCTCACGACACTTGTGTCAAAGACAGGAAGGGAATCGATGCGCGAGCCATCTCTTCTTTGAACTTTGGGGATTTTGCAAATTACGTGACAAACGAGGTGGAAGATTGCAAAGTTTGTGAATGACATGAAGGTCCGATATATACCAATCGTAATCGAAATCCAATGGGCACGACGTGATTCTAAAAATATCGAGGTATGCCGAGTACCCATGCACCAGAAGGCACTGCATATTGCATGGTACTCGCGCGACTTGCTCTACACTTAAGCTAGAAAATTTAATGAACATGCAGTGTTAGCAGTGAGGTTGCTGAACCACACCTTCAACCATGCAAATTGTCTGACACCTGTCTCGCGCCACATCTTCAATGCGCGTGGTCCTCCCCGTCACAGATGTCCGCTACACCAGGACAAGTACGGCTAGCCATCAGATAGCCGTCACGGAACGTGCGGCCGCAAAGAGCATGCTGTGCTGGCCGGATCGTACAGCGGGGCACATCGGGTGTCGGTGCGCCCACCGCCGCCGCCGTCGACCGTCACTACCCAGTTGAAACAACAGCGCGACCGCTCTCCGCTGGACTGACTGGGCGCACGGGCCGCGAGGTGCCCGCAGGAAGGCGCCTCGCTCGAGGACGAAGTCCGGGACGGGTATGATCTAAGTCCTGGAGCGGTGGTGGGCGACATCGGATACCTCCGGCTGCATGTACACGTGCCCGGCGCATCCGTCCCGTGCCGTCGCTTCCCGGCAGTGGCGGTCTTCTAGGACAAACTTTCCGGGAAGTGGCGGTGGAGCCCGGACGGGATGCGTGGGAGATAAGAGCTGCTTGGGTTTCCCGTTCTTCCGAGCTCGCAGCCATTTTGTACTCTGCTCTGGTTACCATCGCAGGAAAAACCGTAGTGAGGGTGTCAAACAATTGTGAATTATTTCGCGGTGTGTCTGAAACCCAGCATTAGTGTTGGCGGACAGAATGCAAGGTCTGCGAGCTTATCGCGATACCAGACACTGTGAATGAGAGTAAATATTCGCGCTCAAATGACCTCATTTGGTACATGCAGCAAGTGCTGTATTGATCAAATGATCAATGCCGTACTTGCTACTCATCGGTCAAGGTGTTGGCAGTGATAGTTTAGAGTTGAGAGGAAGAGCGGTCTTGAAAGAATGTTGCCACGGTTCAGTACTACTGTGGACAAATTGTGGGTCTCTCCTCAGTACCCCACTACCAACTCCCACCCCCACGCTAGTTACACACAGGGGGGGGGGGGTATTGTTTAACTGGGACGGACACTGGCACCGCGCGGCAGAAATCAACTCTGACCTGACATCAACTACTTGTGCGCTGAACACGGCAAGACCAACGCAGACTGACCGCTCAGGAAGGCGGCTTCTGCGATCACAACCAGCAGCCGTCAGGGCTCTCCACCTGATCGCGCTATCACCTGTGGTCTTCTGCAGGGCCGCCGGTCGCCTCCCCCCCCCCCCCCCCCGGCTGTCGCCGGACGTCTAGCCGTGGCCCCTCCCCTTCCCCCGGAGCAGACTATGACGACGGCGGCACCTGGTTGCCGTTGCAGCCTTCTGTGGCAGCTTCCCGGAGAGCCGTGAGTGCGTCAACTGTGGCACGGCAAACACGCCTCTCTGGCGACGCGACCTCACCGGCCACTACCTCTGTAACGCCTGCTCACTCTTCTCAAAGTCGAACGGCTTCCACCGGCCGCCGCTGCGGCAGACGGTGCGCCGCCTGGTGAGTCCCCCGCCCCTCCCCGTCCACGCCCGCCTGCCTGTCCGCCCCGCTCTGCTTGCCCGCATGCCTGCCTGCCTGCCTGCCTGCCGCCGACGCCGCTGGCGCCACTCGCGACGCCGCATGACCGGGCCTATCATGTTGCAGCGGCGCAGGGCGAGCTGCCGCCGCCGGCCAAGTCGCCGCCGGCCGAGCCGCACGCCATGTTCCTGCTGACCCCGCTCCTGCCGGCCTCGCCGCCCGCCGCCACGCCCGAAGTCTTGACCGAGGTCATTCCCGCTGGCATGCACGGGGTCACGGCTGAGGCCGCGCCCGACATGCGTCAAAAGGTACAGAGCCAGGCCACCGCCTGGGTTGCCTGGGGGAGAGGGGTCGGGCTTTGGCTGAAGTGACCAGGTGCCGAGGAAGGACCACAGTGGAGAGGAGGAGTTTCAGTGATGGCTGATAACACTTGTCTACGGCGTTTACGCAGGAATTAGAATGGAGAGGGCACAGCGCAAAAATTGTCACTAAAAGCCGAGGTAAGCGCACCGCAGGCACGCTAAGCTCTTCTTCCAGGTATAGTGTTATTACCTTACAATGTGGAGAGTCTTGAAATAGAATGAATTTGTTTGTTTAAATTTTCAGGCACGCATCATGATCGTATGCAAGATCCAAAACAGAAAGGACACTACCGGGACACACCAGAGTAAAAAATTACACAAATAATTGAATATTCGTACACAGTAAACTGAAAACAAAGCCTTACAATTAAGACGACTTAATACAAAATATTGAGAAAAATAGCGATTTGACAAGACCAAGAAACCACAGCTTTCACATTACAAGATACACTATGGCGAAATGTTTTTGTGAAGTAAAGGTCTTCTTGATGAATGCAGAGGAAGTCATAAATTTGCTGGTGGAGATGGCCATTGTTTTTTTTAAAAGATCCGAATTGAAAATAGGGACTGTCACGTGAGATTCGGTAGTCATCATGAACCGTGATAGAATATATTGGCTTCAGTGTTTTTGCTTTTGACAGCAAGTATGAGCTCGCTATATTTTAGTCTAACTGGTCGTTTTGACTCTTCTAGGTAAAATACATTTTCGCCTTTGCTCAAGCAGGTAGGTAACACAGGAAACATACGCATGTAGCGGTGCACAACATTAAAGGTAGTGATTGTGATTTGTTTAAACTTACTTGTCTACCCCGAGTTGTTAATTTGTAACATATAGTCATGCAACTATGTAATAAATGTGGTACAGGAAGATCACGTGTCCCTGAAGGCCACAATATGTGCGTGCGCCCCGGCCTTTTTCAGACTGGCTTCGACAGCGTCCTTCGTGAAAAGATGCTCCCACCCAAATATGGCGATGTTCTCGTTCTGTAGATAGCTGAACCTGCCAGCCAAGTTGCTGCTGGCCGGCCCTGGTATGGGGGACGCCATTGTATCGAGGGATAGGGATGAGGAGGGATGGGACTGTACGTGAGGGATATGGATAGAGAGATACGACTGTACGGGGGTGATACTGCCCAGGTGTAATGGTAGGAAAGATAGCATTTTGGGGTCACAGATAGTCGCCATGGTGTCGTGAAAAACTCAAGGCACAGATGCGCGCTAAGACGTCTGCCTAAAAGGTTAACTGGAGCTCCGCTTGCAGTGAATGCGTTTGTCTCGGCTTTGCATGTGTTAAGAGCTAAACGTTACGGCATATGATGTATGCATTTTGTCACAGATTTGCAAGTTTCCCCACAATGCATGCTCTTCTGTTTTACCTGTGACTTATTCAGCCTGGATATGCCTAATTGTCGAAAGGAACTAAGCCTTCTGAAGGTAAGTGGTGAGTTAAAAGTCCAAGCTAAACAACAGAAGGGTGCTCATATCTCCTGATTTATTCTGGTTCCTTATTAACCAGAAGTTGGCGCTTTGCTGCGTGCTAGCCCTGCAAAGTTTGGGTAATAATCAGGATTGAGAGGTGAGTGTGCGGTGGCTGCGCCTCCGGGAATGGCTGTGCTTTAGTCCACAGCGCTTCAGTCGAAGAGAAACGGCGGACTCAAAACCATGTCATTCTAAACCTGATGTATCTTGCCAGTCAGGTGACGTGTGGCGCCCTTCTTTGCCGCCCTGATGCCGCGCTTATGCCTGCGTAAGCTGAGCTGAGCTGAGCTAACGGCCCCTGACCGTGTCAGCTTTGCCCGCAGTCCATCTCCCGACGCCAGGGTCAGGCGTGTCACAACTGCGGCACAATGAACACCTCCCTCTGGCGCCGCGACGCCAACGGCAACACGGTCTGTAACGCCTGCGGTCTCTACATCAAGCTGCACGGGCGCAACCGGCCGGCCAGCATGCGCAAGGATGAGATCCAGGTGAGTGGGGGCAAGGGCGCACCCAAACCCATGACAAAGTGCGCACAGGATTGGCCGAGGGCCCCTGGTGATGAAAGGAGCCCCCACCCCTCCCTCTAAAAAAATCGCTGAGTATGGTCCACGTGAAAATGAGGCGTGTGTTATTCTGTGCTTTATTAGCAGGTTTACCTTATATAACTGCAACAGAAACCGGACGCTTCCGCAAGATTAATCCTGTGTTTGAATTTTGAAGGAAATAGCCTGAAGAAATCAGGCGGTAAACGACTGCATTTAATATATCAACGGGGTTCTTTATTGTACAATGGTTCAGTGAACTCTTTCCAAGCCGACAGAACTGAGAAACTTTGCAAGAACTTGTATCTGGGCTCTTCAGGGATATTAATGATCCCTGGAACGTATATCACATATCAAAATAGATTATGAATTCGTGTTAAAATGTCCAACCCATATTTTTCTGGAAAGGGTAACATTCAGCCAGAATCAGTAAGTCAGAAAAATTATTTTACATAGTTATAAGCACGCGGGCTCTCAAATGATAGCAAAGCACGGCTTCGGGCGACTCAGACGTTTGCCGACACAGGACCATTGTAAGGCGTTGTGGGCCCCTGACCGACGCCGCCATTGTTTCAGTGACCCCGACCAATGCAAATCGCGGGCCCGACCTTGTTTGTGCTTGGAAAATGAACCCTCAGGGCTGAGACGGATACGGAGCCGACTATGATGTTAATGGTCTCTGGCCGAAATAGAAGCCCGCACTGTCCCCGGGATCTCCAATCGATGCAAGAGGCCCCCAGAAGGACGTTTTAGGTCGCGGCCCTACGGGCGGACGGGGGGGGGGGGGGAGGCGTCCTTCATGTGGCCCTCGACCAGTCCTTTGGGTTCTCCATTATTCTAAAAGGGCCCTTGATCTTTGGTCGCAACGGGTCCTTCGGCTCGTCTTTGGGCCTCCTTAAATGAAGCTCGTGACCGACTCAAGGGCCAGTGTCGGCACATGAGCCCCTGTTAGGCACTGTGGGCCCCTGACCGACACAAGGTCTCGAGCACTGTTTCAGGGACCAAGATCAATGCAAATAGAGGGCCCGGGCTCGCTCCTGGTCGCGAAATGGGTCCCCAGGCTTCATACCGACATGCAGCCAACTATTCGGTGCTAGTGGTGTCTGGTCGACATAGACGCTCGCATTGTTTCAGGGAGACCGCGATCGATGCACGGGCCCCTCTGACTGATATTTAATGTCTCGGCCCTACGGGTTGAGATGCTTTATGTAACCTACAGGCAGCTCTACGGGGCCTTATATCCTCCATCCCGGCCCTTGATCGTCGGTTCCAGCGGACCTCCCTGCTGGTCTCTCTTCGGGCATCATCGAACCCTGCCCTTGGTCGACTTGGGCCCCTTACCAACACAGAGTCCCATGTTGGGCACCGTGGACTCCTGACAGATACAGGGAGCTCGACCAGTGTAAATCGCTGGCCCTAGTCGCCGCTTTGAAAGTGAGTCCTCAGGCTCATACCGACATGGAGCTGACTGTGCGGTGTTGGTGGTGCCTGACCGGCGTGCAAGCCCTTACCGATTCATGGGGTCTCTGATGGGCCAAAGGGCTCTCCGACTGTCGTTTGAGGGCCCGTCCCCGCAGGCCGCGCCCCTGAATAGAACTCCGACGAATCCTTCGTTCCGTTAGGCCCTCCAATCGGGCCCCTGACCGTCCGTCCCGGTGGACCCTCCAGACTCTCTTCGGGCCTCCTCAAACACCACCTCTGGCCGACTCAGTGCCCCTTGCCAACGCAGCCCTCCCTCCCCTCCCCCTATTAGGTGTTGTGAGCCCCTAAGAGACGCTGGGCCCAACCAAGGTAAATCGTTGGCCCCGGCTTTTTCCCTGCTTGATAGATGGAGCCTTAGGCCAATGGCGACACGGAACTGATTACGTTACTGGTGGTGTCTGACCGATATACATATAAGCCCTTGTGGACTCAGGGAGCCCCTGATGAGCGCGCAGAGCCCTCTGGCTGGCATAAGAGCGCCAGGTTCTGCGGTCGGAGACCCTTGAATGTGACCTTCCGCCAGCCTTTCAGGCTCTTAATCGTCTGTCACAAAACTCCTTCGGGTCCCTCGGAACCTAATGGAAAGCATGCGCCCCTGTGCCCCCTTGCCTGTGCCACAGCGTGTGTGTGTGGGGGGGGGGGGGGGGGGGGCAGGACGTGACCGGGTGTGTTGCTGTGATGATCGGGTGTAGTGCAGTGGTGGTCACGTGCAGTGACGTGGGTGTGGAAGCACATAGGTGGTGACAGTCGGGTGTGGTTTGGTGGCGAGCTGGTAATGCTGGTCACTTGCGGTGGTGTGCAGGTGGTCGCGGGCGATGGGCTGGTAGTGATGGTTGAGGAAAGTGCAGTGATGATTGGTTACGATGCAATGACGATCATGTGCAGTGATTTGTGGAGACATTTCACACGGGTGTTAATGGTCGGGTTCACTTGTGCTCCACGGTTAAGTGTCCCCCCTCCCCTCTACCCCATCCGCCACTACTACCACCAAGGGACACTTAGTTCACTCGTGGATGACGTATATAGTTTGCTTGCTCCAGGCAAGCGGGGCGTCCTGGGGATATGCGAGAAAGTGAGAATGAGGAGAGAACGGCGGATAAGCAATCTGAGCGATACAGTGTGTCAACTGCCTGCGACCAGCGTTCAGATGATGAAGGTAGCCACCATGTGAAAGCTGCTCCTTCTGATGTTTTATTCAGCCAGGAACGGAGCTAAAGTGAGGAATATCGTCGAAAAGTTCACGTCGTCGGAAGCTTGGTGTCACCTCACACAGCCATAACCGTGCCCTCTCCCCCCCCCCCCCCCTCCTCCCGCGCGAATCGCCGGTCTAAGTCCGAGATCACGTGCGCCTGGCAGGGCCGGCTGCCGGCGCGGATGCGTATTGAAACGTCCGGAGTTCATAAAGTACGGTGGTCAAAAAATCCAGAATCGCAGCACCCAGCGTTCATAAGGTCCACAAAACGTCCAAAACCCCTGGACAGAGGAAAATCATAAAGCAGGGAGCTAGAATCGCTTTTAAACTAGGGTGGGAGTGAAAAATCCGGTCGCAAAAAGACCGTGCGTGAGTGAAAAAAATCAATTCACAAAAGATGGAGCACATACCTCTGGCTTCTGTTAAGATGGGGTCAGAGAAAACATGCATTTTTTCACTGTTTCTTACAAAATACCAATGCTTATTTCCATGGAAGTAGCCTAACTATGCCTAACCTAAAGAGACCTTACTTCATCTCATCCTGTCTAACCTGTTTGTAGCACAGCAGCAGTTGTGAGTTACTGATCCTTGCGCAATTCCCGTTGTCACTTGCCATGCACTTAACCAATTTAACCTAACTTAGAGTAGCCCATATGTTGAACATCATCTCAACTCACCTATCTGTTGACAGCAACACTTGTAATAAAACATGATAAAGCCAATTTCTTGCTGGTTTCAACTTCCATTTTTATTCAGTTCATTTGTGTATGCTTGTTGACGTCAGAAAAATTGATAACACACAAATAAAAACACTTAAAATCACTTTTGAACAACTTATTATCATTGTCATGGTTAACCTATGTCAAGGGCAATAATCGGTATGCCCCACAAAACAATCTCTCTTATCGAAAAGTAACATAACTTTTAGATGACCATGCCAGTATTGCTGCTTGCCTTTTCAGCTGCAGCAAAGACATCTATTGAGGCTTGTTTATTCATATTTGATAACAAAGTTTGGCATATTGGCTTCACATTTTAAATGGGATTGTTTCATTATTTGTTACACGTTAATATTTAACTCATATTATGATTTCTATGCAGCTTAGAGTATCACCGTGTAAAAAATAAAGTGGATTTATACAGTACAGTCATTTGCCAGTCAGCAAGCCATGACAGCTATAGAAAACATCTGGTTAAAGCAGCCATGAGGGACCACATCAAAAAGTTTAGAGCAACTAATCAATGATACGGAACAAAATAAGCCCCTTACGTGCATTGTGGCGTCCTAATTTGTCTAATGACAAAACCCGATGCATTGAAACAGAAAATGGCTAACTATGGTTACCAATCATTTGTTGAAAGCAGGTAAATTAAGCAAGCACTTGGTCTACAGGAGACTTGCTGGCTTCTCAGTACCTTTTGCATGGTCTGCTGGCAGAGAGAGTCATCCCACTCACCCCCAAACATAAATACCAATCATGCCCACCAATGTACGAGATTAATATGCGAAAAAAGTAAGAGGTGTGCACGATAGACATCTCCAGAGGGCAGAATTTCGCCAATAAACACTTCTGTTTTAGCTGCGTCAGGTCTGTCCCAAAGCTCTGTATGGCAGCATTAGGATAGCCTAGTCAGGCAGCCTGGTGAGTTAGACACCCGAAAGGCTTAGGTTTGTCAATATGAGCATCGTCATGAACCAAGAAAACTGTTAACCGAGGGTTTAACAGGGTGAAAATGGCGGCAGAAATATGTTCCGTGCTTCAAATTGTCCCCTTCATTCCCTGTGAAATGTTCACTGTTGGGTGCATATCAAACATATTTGGGCGTCTGGCGACTTAATCCAATTTATGTATGAAATGTGTACTAGTTTGCAGTTGGAGCATCTGGCCGAACAACTGGTCAACATTGTAAGCAACAGATGGTACCTCTAAATGCAATCGAAAAGGAAGGAAGAATGAACTGGTATCACACTCGCATGATATCAAGAAAAAGCAAAAGGAGTTAAATAAATATGAAGACTGATACTTTTCTGGTAAAATTTTGTTATCAACTGAGTTGACACGAAATCTGTTAAGATAAGTGTTCAAATGGAGATATTTATTTTGTAAATTTTATTTAGAAGACATTTCTTATATTTTTCACCACTGCATTTTGGGAGTGATGCAATTTAGTGGTTAAGTTTTCTCTGGAAAAAAGAAATACGTAGAGTAAAATTCTCTACCAGGCCTTGCTGGTGTTTGCACCAGGCTCTGCTTTCGTGGTGTGGTGTTGA